CATTACGCATCAAAATTTAAATAAAAAATATAGTACCTTAAATACTATTGGTTATAAAAAACAATAATCTAAAATTAAAACTATACATGCATCAGATCTAGCAGCTAGAATGATTGAGCCAACGAAAATTTTACTTACTGGCAAAAATCGGTGAGACAGTAATTCGACTTCTTTAATTGTCATTTGAGGTTATTACTAATTTACGAATATTCTTCTCGTATTTAGTATACGCGTGAATTGTTGCGGTATAATGGATATGCTTGCTTTTGATGGTGGGAAAAATATACATTATTACCAGGTACGAGATATGAAAATCTGTGATTATCTCAATCCGGGTATATATATACGGTGGAGTCAACAAATCCAGACAAACTATTAAAATATTTTAAAACTAAATAACTTGATAAATTTAACAATTTTGTCAATTTAGAATTTATTTAATTCTAAAAGTTTATAGAAATAAATAAATCCTAAATTAACAAATTTTCGAGGTAATTATCAAGCTATTCAAGTGAAATTTGAAAAATATTAAAATAATTTTCTTGGATTTTGTTGGCGTCTCCCCGTATATCAATCACAAATTTATTTTACAACTGACATTACATATACGGATGAAATCAGTCATAAATTGGATTGCCATTTTCTTTTATTTTATTTTCAATTATATTATAACTGAATATTCTTGCTTTTCCAATGTAATATAATTTAGCAAGAAGATCTTTTACATTTCGGACACTTAATTATCGCCCTTGCGTGCAATTCCCTTTCATCTATCCATAATATGCCAAAATCAATTGAGTTCATTTCTCGACAATATTCACATGATCTTAAAAATGTTATATTATATCTGATAAGCAAACCAACTCCTGACAAAACTATAGATGATGTTGTGGCAATGATCGCATCAAAAACATTGCATGAGATTAACAGCGCTCATCAGTATGTATTGTGTAATGAAATGGCGTGTTAAATGAAATTCGAAAATATGAATTTATTGCCTCATTATTAAGCACATGATTCATGAAAAAGTTAAAGTTAAGCTCACGATTGTGTTGGCTCTTTTCATTAGTTATAACGATTTTTTAGAAAGCGAGCTAAGTAAAGAATTAGAAAACGGAAGGTTGGTTCGCTTATTATGTAAATTTGGATTTATCAATGAACGCCCCGAGTAAGTGCTGTTGATTAATAATAATATTGATAACATTATTCGAATGTAACTAAAACTTTTATGTACACGTATAATAGATTTGACATGGACCCAAGTTGGTCAGAAACTGGTGATAGATATTTAATTAAACTTTTCAGAGACTATGTATTTCATCAAGTCGATGAGAATGGTTATCCGATCGTTGATATGTCTCATGTATTAACATGCTTAAACAAGGTAAATAAGTCGTTGCGTTCATGTTTCACATTTATTTTTCGTGACTGCTTATTATTATTATTGTAGTTGGATGCAGGTGTTGATGAAAGAATAATGTTAATGTCGAGAGACGAGCAATCATGTCTTATTGTGTCTTATAAAGAGATAAAAAATTGTATTGATTCTGCTTTTAGAGATCTTTCAAGAAGAAAATGATTTGATGTTTGGCACTTCAATGTTATATAATTTTAGATTATTGTTTTTTATAACCAATAGTATTTAAGGTACTATATTTTTTATTTAAATTTTGATGCGTAATG